TGTGTGACAACGGTAAAGGGATTACATGCTAAAGCATGTAAAACCAGCTGAATTTCATAGAATCATAGAATCAGCCGGGTTGGAAGGGACCTTTGAGATCATCAAGTCCAACCCTTGATCCACTACTGCTGTGGTTACTAGACCATGGCACTTAGTGCCACATGCAGTCTCCTCTTAAAAACCTCCAGGGACGGAGAATCCAACACTTCCCTGGGCAGCCCATTCCAATGGCTGATTACCCTCTCTGTAAAGAATTTCTTTCTAATATCTAACCTAAACCTCCTCTGGTAGAGCTTAAGACCATGCCCTCTTGTCTTACTGAGAGCTGCCTGGGAAAAGAGACCAACCCCCACCTGGCTACGACCTCCTTTCAGGGAGTTGTAGAGTGATGAGGTCTCCCCTGAGCCTCCTCCTCTCCAGGCTGAACAGCCCCAGTTCCCTCAGCCCCTCCTAATAGGACTTGTGCTCAAGTCCCTTCACCAGCCTTGTTGCTCTTCTCTGGACCTGCTCCAGCACCTCAATATCCTTCCTGAACTGAGGGACCCAGAACTGGACACAGCACTCCAGGTGTGGCCTCACCAGGGCTGAGTCCAGGGGAAGAATCACTTCCCTGGTCCTGCTGGTCACACTGTTCCTGATCCAGGCCAGGATGCCATTGGCCTTCTTGGCCACCTGGGCACACTGCTGGCTCATGTTCAGCTTCCTGTCAATCCAAATTCCCAGGTCCCTTCCTGCCTGACTGCTCTCCAGCCACTCTGTCTCCAGCCTGTAGCGCTGCAGGGGGTCGTTGTGGCCAAAGGTGTTTCTCAAAATGCCTTAGCATCACTAACTTCTCAGGAAACATTCAAGGCATTCCAGGATTTAAATTTGGGCTATGGACAGTCTTGTGGCATTTAGAGTCTGCAAGTAAAATCTACATTGTTCCTTTTTCTTTTTTTTTACTTTCTTGTTATGTATTGCTCCAGATCTAGCATAGCCTTCCCTACAGCTTTGACAAATTACAAATCATGTTACTGTAATTAAAGCTGTACTGTTGAACTGGTAAGTGGATTGGATGGTGGAAAATGGAGTTCAGCATAGACTGCTTGATTTTAGTTTACTACTCTGTACCAAACCCAGATGTATTTACTCACCCTCCAATTTAGTGATGCATGTCTGTAAGGAGGGAGGAGATCAATAAAATTTATATTAATAATTACAATACCAAGTGCCCTATTTTTCAGTTGCCTCATAAACTCCCATGTAACTGGCCTTTAGATAGACCACATTTATAAAGATAAACATAGATCAACCTTATTCAAATAGTTATGGTTTATCATTTAACTTAATTGTCCTATTGCAACCTTCCCTTGGATTGCCTAATTCCACGTATTCTTCACTATTAACTTCCTAAATATTTATATATGAAATATTTGTTATTTTATATACACACACACACACATATACACACACACAAATTCATTCAGCTAACTCTTGAGGGATTAAAGCTGTGCTCCAAAATTGTTAATCTTCATATGAAAGAGATGCAGTCAAGTTGCAGACTATGAAGTTAATCCTGTCTGGTTTGGCTTTCAAAAGTTTTGGTATTTACTGCATTTCTGTATTTCTTGTATTTCTGTACCCAATGTAAAAAGACAGACATTAACACATGCCATTCAAAAGAAGCTTGGATAAATAATTTTTCTACTCTTTCTTATCTCTATAGAAGAGCAGGCAACTAGCTTAGTTCTGATATATACCCAACTAAAGTTAAATGAGATGAATCTTACCCTATCAGACAGATCTGGGTTTTCTGAAGAACATGTCAAACGTAGTTTATTTTCTGTGTCCTGAAAGAGGCAATGAGTACAGCTTCAAATTAAAATAATCTGACACTGAAACTAGTGAACAAACAATCTCTCATTTTGAATTTAGTTTTATTTTTATCTCACAGTCTGTAGCACCCACTCAAATTTGGTTATTGAGAAGAGACTCTAATGATCTGGACTGCTGTCAGTTGTTTGAAAAACCAACACAAAACGTTTCTTTTGACTGCTTTTAAAGTGGTTCAGCCTGCACATACATACCCCATAATGTTTTGGTTGCACCTATTACCAAGTTGAGAAGTTTTTAGGCAGGATCAGTACTTGGAAGAGTATTATATTCCACAAAATACCTTCTTCAGGTGTCTGATAAGGAACATTGAAAAGCATATGGACAGTATTGTTCCTGAAGTCTTTCTTTCAGCTTCATAGAGGGTCATCTTTGTTTCATCTTCATTGCTACAGTTATTAAAGTTCAAATATTCCTCAACAATTTTAGGGGGTGAGCTAATATGCAGTATTAGTAGCATGCCATCATCCCATTAATTCAGTGTTGAGCTTAATACATGCATGGTATAGGGAAAGCCATACTCTTGGAAAATTATACTCTCCTATTTGGAAACTGAGAGCTGAGAGCTCCTTATGGGTATGATTAATCCCATGGCACATTCTCAAGTACCCACAGTTATGCTCCTGAGTAATCTCAGTAAATTATTTGAGTAGTTGCAGTTGGTTTAGTAGTTTAAATGGTTTAGTATTACTACCTTCTTTTCTAAAATTACAGAAGAAACAATTTGTGTGCTCTTTTGTGCTGCAACTTTTCATTGCAGAAACACTAAATTTCAGGGTAGCTTGCCTATAAATACATCCCTTCAAAAAAATCCCATGGCATATAGGGATGCCTGGAGGACATACCTATCAATGCTGCTACACACCTATGCTCACTGCACTAGGATTTTAATAATTTTGTAGTTTCAGAGTACAAATTTTACATATATGGACAGAAGAGTCATTGTCAGAACTGCTCAAAATGTGACAACATAGCTTCTACTAATTTTAGGAAGAATATATTATATAATACCAGAGAATTATTGGCACTAAGAATTACATCCAATGCCTTCTGATGGAAAACACTTGAAATTTACTGTTAGTGTGTTTCTGTAGACACAAGACTTCAAACAGGCATCACAAACTCAGTGTGGTTTCTTCTGTAATTAAAAATATTTTCGTTTAATAGCAAAATATTTTTGTTCTTGTTCCAAGAACACACCACTGCAATCCAGTGTTTAAACCAAATGTTTTCTTTTAGCTTTCCTCAAATCCTTAGCAGTCAAGCTACACATGACTTCAGTGGATTCTATTCAAGCTTTCCGTTACAAACCAAACAGCTTTCTTATAAATGTAACAAAGAGGAAAAGCTGTGTTACACGGTAAATATCAAGTCCTCTCCTACTGGAAAAGTGTACCGCTTGTATGAGAAATTAGTATCCTGATCCTTCAGCCAGCACCTTGCTGAGATAACTCAGATTCATTAAGGTTTTTCCATAAACTTCAGTAGATCAAACTATGCTGGTAGAGATCTAACTCATACTGAGTTAAATACACTGATAATACTCTAAAATGAAATCACAGCATAGAATGTCCATCTTAACCAAGAGAGCAACTCTGTTTAGGTTGGGAACATCACAGAGAACTGCAAATGAGATACACTATGAAAAAAAACAGATTAAAGTTCAAAGTAGGCAACCTGACAAACTCCTAACACAACAACAACAGAAATCTGGTCTTCAAATATAAGTCCATTGGCTGCAATATTAGAATCTGGGTTTGGAACACATGACATGCTATAGTCTGGATCACAGAGAATTTAAATAGGGAAAGGAAATTTTCCTAATCCTCTGTTTTGCTTTATTACATCATTTGGTTTAATTAGATCATCTGTATCAACTGCTGTCTTCAATGTGCTCCCAAACGAGCAGAAATACTACTACTAATTTGACTTTTTGTGGGTTTAATTGTTTATTTAATGGGACCTGAGGTCAAAATTACTTTTAAAAATTTCTTGCTAGAATCATAAGAGTAACATTCAGTTGGAGGAAAATAATTAAGGAGAAAATAGGTGAATCAAAGGCTTCCTCCCTCCCCCCCAAAAAATAATAGATTAAAAGAAGATTTTGATTTTATCATGCAAGTATGAGTCAAAGATACATTGTTATCATGAATTTGCTTTCAGTTAATGTTTTTGTAATCCAAGTAACTTGAAAATACAACTCCCCTTAATACTGTTTTCCTATATAGCAAACAAATGGATTTAAAAACTTGCTGAGGGAGTGGCAGGTGGCTAAATAAATACATAGAAATCCCGGTGTTTTGTCATATAACAAACTATAATAGCACTTCAAAGTTTTGGACAGATTTCCTCATATTATGGGTTTTGGGTGTAGCTATGTGGAAAACTGCGAGTGTTGTCTTTTGGTATTTACTTTACAACCCTTTGTAATCTTCAGCTATATTTATAGATCCAAGTGGGAAGAAATCAAAATTAAATAGGCCTGTTTGAGAGCCCCTTGTAATCAAATGCTTTTCTCATTTCTCCTTAAAATAAAAGCACAGCGTGGACATTTGGCTGCCTGAGGAGACCACCCGAAGAGTTTACAAGCTGCGGCCTGACAGTGAAATATTTTTGTGGAAAAGCATAAGAACACAGGGAGAGGAGTCATGGATAAACTAGATGGTTTCTTTTGAGGGAAGAAGGGGCTGCTTGGGTTTGAGTTGGCAGGGTTTAACTAGTGATAAGAGGGAAGGGCTGAGGATTTCATGCCTGGGGACAGCACGGGAGAGGTGAGTTATTCCCGAGGTGCTGGGACCGCCACTCACTGTAGTTCAGGGGCGCAGTCCGCCCCGGCCGAGCTGGGCAGAGGCTACAGCCCCTCGGGCAGAGGCTACAGCCCCTCGGGCAGAGGCTGCAGCCGCCGGCGGCGCCCCGGCCCCTCTGCCCGGCCGCTGCTCCCGGCCCTGCCGCAAGAGCCGCCGCGGGGCCGCGCTGGGGCCGCCTGGCGGGGGCGGCAGCGGGGCCAGGCGAGGCCGCCGAACCCCGAGCTCGGCCAGAGCCGCCCCCTCAGAGCCGCTGCCCGAGTGGGGCACCGACCCAAATCCAAATGAGTTCTACCTACCCGGGGATCCCCCGTGCTGGGGAGACGGGAGAAAAGGCCGCCCGAGGGGAAGTCACTCCCGTGAGGGCACGGCTGTTGCAAGGGAATGAATCCAGCGCAACTGGCAGCGCAACTGTGGCAGCTGGCGACAAACAGCGCCCAGCTTAGGCGAGGGCACCAAAACGCAGAGCCCAAGGCCGACGGTGAAAAACTGGCCATGGGTTAATTTATTTAGGCCTTCGAAAATTGGTTCCAAGCACCCAGCCAAACAAGGTGACCAAAATGCAGAGCCCAAGGCCAAAGGTGAAAAATTGGCTATGAGTTACTTACTTAAGGCTTTTGAAAAAAAAGAAAAAAAAAGGGGGAGGGGGTTCGAGAACTGCTTTTGGGTCTCGGCTTTCCCCTGTTCCTTACTTGATACTCAAAGCAAGATTTATGAAGAGAATTGCTTTTTATTGGCCTAACTACACTTCTTGGCAAAAATAGCTTTAGGACAAACGAACCTTCAGATTTGTGCAGCTGCAGAAGGGTGTCGTGGGTACATAAATTACAGGAGCTCCCTTCCATGCTGCCAAACACTCTTGGGCTAAGACTTGAAAACTGTTGCTACGTAGGGAATATCCCAGGAGAGCAAAGTGGGGTTTTGGGGGATATACAGGAGCCTTACCAAAAGAGTTTCTGACTCTGGACTATTAGTATATTGAAAACAGGCCCTCATTTACTGTAACTGAAACAAAAGTAGAACTGCCTAGAAAGGACACAAATCTATCTCCCATAGCAGCTTTGGAAACATCCCAGAACTGTATCTGGAAGAGCAGCTAGGTATGCTGTAAAAGAAACAGAATAATAACATTTTCCATAATTTCAAGTAAGAAAGTTTGCCTTATTGCCAGCTAACCTAAGTCCAGGTGATCAGATCACAGCTGTACTTTGTTTAAATTTTGTTCCTTTACATTTGGACTGAAATGTCCTTGTTTTCTTTTGCTTCTGTTATTGCTGAAGCCTTCTCATCTGCTTTTTTTCTAAATAGAACACAGGATCAGAAAAGACTTAGTGGACTAGGGGATCTAGTTCCTTCCTGCAGCAGTTAAACGGCTCATATAACCACATTTGTAAATTTATCAAGCTTTCATCTTAAAGCAGGTTTAGATTTTTTTGCCTCCATACTCCTATTGGGAAGCTGTTGCAGTACTTTATGTCCTGAACAGTTGGAAACCTTTCTAATCTCCATGATGAATTTTCATGGCAATTTTCTTAGGTGATCATATGCTGATACTGAGTTCTACTTCAAGTATTTTTTCTTTCAGTGTTTCTCTTGCCCTCCTTTATCCCCAGTATATCCAGAGAGCAATAATAAATGTTTTCTCAGGTTTTTGTTACACAAGCTAAATGAGGTAATGAAATGAAGGTAATAAGCTAAATGAAATAAGGTAATAAACTGAATAATCCTTTCAGTCTCCTATACCAAGACTGTCAGCCATTTTACATTATTTCAGAAAAGGTCACAAAAAATTCTTACATAATAGGTTGTACACTTGTCTATCTGTATTAAAACTGTGTGGAGATCTTAATAGTTTCATCTCCCTGGCAGTACACAGTTGTGCTGCAACAGATGTATAGGGTTTTTACCTAATTGTCTTTTCTAAACTATGAACTATCAGCTGGTAATAGAAAATTCCTGCTATTACTTCCAAAGTCTGCAACCTTGCACTTTGTACATATTAACCTCATCTCCTTTCAGTAACTGAAGTTCAGTGACCCGTATGATATTCTGAGCCTTTCTAGTTTGACACTGCCTCCAGACTTTGTCATCAGAAAATGTCATAAGCACATACGCTGTACCAAAATTAGCTATGATACTATCTGCTATTTTTAGTCTCCAAACTAATCCTTGAGAATTCTGTTGGTAACTTTCCTCCAAACACACATTTCCCCTTTCAGTGCAATAAATTGAATTTTAATATTTGTGAATATAGTACAAACAGTCCAACATCAAGGAACTTGTGTTTTTCTCTGTAATTTTAATTTGATTCTAGTTAATTTCCTGCCTCTAAATTCTGATATGCTCTCACAGTGAAGCCTTCCTCCCATTGTGGGTTAATTTTTGACAGACTAATGCATAAATGGTTTAATAAGGTAAACCAGAAAAAGAAGGAATTGTTTTTATCTGAAAAAGGCAACTAGGTAGTTCTCTCATAGTCTGCTTCACATAAAACGATTTTTTACCCTTCACTGTTTCAAATTTCCATTTACTTGGATGTGTTAATTTTTCTTTCCTAAGCTGTGTGTTTTAAAACCTTTCATACTACTAAAGTCAGTTTAATAGGGTCGTAGTTTACTTAGTTACTTCCTCTACTCTTCCATACTTCATTTGCTAATTGTCAGTAATATAATACAATACTTGCCTCATTCACTTAATTAACTAACCCTCTGCTTTTCAGTTCACCATTTCAGGTGAAGGAAAAAATTTTTTAAAAATGTTGTCATTCCAAAAATAAGCTTGTTAAGGAGTACTGTGCTATTAGGAGCACAACTGGGATGCCTGAAGCAATAGCTATACAGGACTCATTTGGCTGCCTGCCTAATGGTCAGCAAATCCCCAGGCGTTGTATCTACACTAGGGAATAAAAGGAGAAGCTTCACTGTAAGTGTATCTCATTTAAGTTAATTGCTGAAATGCCTGTTTTCCTTGTCTTTGTTACTAGAAGTCACTGTGATTTACCATAAAAATTGCTAATCAGTTTGGTGTGAATCATTCTTTTCTATCCTATGCTCTGTTCTTAAAAAGTTATTATACTTTTTTCAGTTGTTTATATTATCTTGACCTTCACAAATATATTTCCTAATTAACACGTGATTTTTTTTTCCTGTATCTGCACCAAAAGATGCATCAACTCTGCAATATTCTGACTGAGTAGCATTCTGAAGAATGTTGTCAGAATTTCCAAAGAGCAAAAGCAGAACCAAAGATTCCCATCAAGTATGTACAAATAGTACAAATGGTACAAATCTTACTGCACAGCAGATATTTAAAATTGAATTTTTCTATGTTGGCAGAGCACTGCAGAATTCAAACATCTAAGCCATCTGAAACTGTTGTCCTTATATCCTTTATTTTAATGTGAAAAATAAAAGTTTTCATTTAGATTCTTATCGCATATATCACAAACTTGTATAAGCAAGAATGCCATTCTATGATGAAACGACAATTTCATTATTTTCCCTATGCTGTAGAAAGGGATCAAAAAGGAGAACCGCAAAATTTTCAAGAAGGAATTTGAACTCCTGCTCCTCGCATAGAGAACTATATTTTTCTTTGCGGCATCCACTGTAAATTAAGCCATTTAGCATTTCCAGTGATGACTCCAGAGAAATCTGATTTTTTGCTTAGTAAAAAAAGCCCTTCAAGTTAGAATTTCTGAAAACAATGGGTTTAAATTTTGACCATTTATCTGGTAATATGGAAGGCCTTAATATTTGCTACTAGGGTCTGACTCACCCATATATTCATATGTCTTATTCTGTTAACACTGTTAGTACAAAGCCTTAACCACAGATACTTTGGAGCTCTTTCTCTTGAAGCCAGAGAATATGAAAAGAAAGCTCTCCTAGTCTGATGTCTTCCTTTCTTAACACTGGTATTCAAGGAGATATGCAGTAGCTTATTCTACATCTATGAACACAACATCTCCTCATCATTGGTTTCTTTGGTTAATGTCCTCCTGAAATGTAAATAGGTGGTCAATGTAAACCATGTCTGCTATTTCAGGGACATAGCCATTAAGATGGATGAAGGCCTCTGCTTTCCTAGGCATCTGACAGATGGATCAAAAGGGCCAGGAGCCTGTGGGTTTCCCTATTGCCAAAGAATGCAGTTTACTTCGAAGTTTTATTTTAAACCACAGTGAATCAAGGGCTTCAAATATGAGCTCTGAAGTGAGAGATTACAGATTCTGAAGAGAGGGCTGGCTTGTATAGATATATCACAAGGGTTGCTATAAATGTTAGGTCTATAACAGAGCCTTTCAAGCCAGTGGCCTGAAAATTATAGTCTTAGATGAAAAGGGTGAGGTTGAAGTGAGGAGTAAAGGAAATTATCCAAAGCTGCCAAATTGTATAGATTCAGACAAGTATGGATTGTGAAGGAATGTGATTGAGTTACTTTGTATGGGGACTGTTGATTCCATGTTTTACTTCAGTCAGAAGGTATATCACTGTGTCATCTCAGTACAAGATGCTTGCTCTTTTTGTTCTTTGAGCTGCGAGTCTTATGTTGAATGAAACCCTGGAAAATCATCTGCTGGATCTCAATTACATTTTTCTGAGTAAATAAAATGAAAAGCTTGCATTGTTTAAAGTGCAGGGGAAAGTCTGTGAGAAGTTTGTTTGTGTTCACATGTTGAACAAATTGTTCTTCTTTATGAAAGATTTGGCAGCCAAAGGTTCAGGTTCTACACTTCCCCAATATACACAAACAGACACAGGGATTGTTTAAAAGACAAGCGTGTAAGTTGCTTATCTTGGTTTTCTCTTTTTTCTCATCTGTTTTTGACAGGTTAACCCATCTCTCCTTATTTATAACTCTGGAAAATTTTCCAAGAAACCTATGAAATTCTCTGAGAAGAATGTGTTCTCTGAGCTAAAAAAGATACATTAGACTGTACTTCTATGTTTTCAAATTACAGAGGAAGATTATGAAGGTCATACTCATATTTCAGATCTGAATAAAATTTTATAGGCTGCTGTGTAAATATACACAGAGTGGTTCTTATGTGGTTTCCCACAAAAGTTGCTCTAGGCTTTCATCTGCTGCAATTTTCACTGAGTTCCATAATGACAGGTTCCACAAAGGCACCCTCATTCATTTTTAGCTCTACCAATCCAAAACAGAAAAAAATCAGAAGAGAACAGCCAGTATCTAAAACCAGACTCAGAAACAAGAACTTCTGCTGGTAAATCCTGTCTCCACACACTGGGGACTCATCAATATAACTACTGAAAAACTGTATGTATAGACAAATATTTAGAATGCAAGTGAATGGAAATAGTTTCAGGCCCATGAGGCAAGGTGGATGTGACTGGCAGCAAGAAATCAAGTAATTTTACGGTACAGGTCAGTTTAACCAGATCAAAGGGACTAACTAAGCACAAAGGCTCAGGATCAAGTGGAACCTCCCCCACAGCAGATAGCCAGCTGTTCATGTGCAGCTTTGAAACGTTCTGGATGAAGTCAAGTAACAACTTCACCAAGCTAAGCAACTAAAATCAACGTGAGTTGAAATGAAGTCTAATGAGTTTGCTGTGAAGATACTATCCCTAAACAAAAGAAATTTAATAAAGCAGATGCTCTAGAGGATAAAGAAAAACTTATTAAGCAAAATTAGAATGATTCGGTTAGAAGGAACTTCATCTCTGTCTGAGCGGTATTTTTGGTTAATTGGAGGCTATTGAAATCATAAACAGAAACATAAACAAGAAATGTGTATTTCCTGTCATGACCCTTCTCCTGATCTCTGTAGATTACCTTTCTATGACAAAATTCTGCACGACAACCTCCTCCCACATCCAAAAAAAAAAAATCCAAGAAACAAACAAACAAACAAACAAACTGTTTGTAGAAATATGCATAAAATAGTCCTTTGGCAATATTCCACCTTTTTATAGTAAGAAGATCATGCTCTTCACTCTGCTGTACTGCCCAGCTCCTACAGAGGGGGATTTTAAAGCCACCTTGCCTCAAGGTGTAATTACCTAGGGAAGTTATTGAAGTCAAAGTTTTATAAAGAAGCCTTTTGGCTTAGAACCTAACCAACTAATCCTCATACTTCTGCCACTCTGTACAGTAGATTGAATTTAGGTAGCATTCTGTTTATTGACTGTCAATTGAGATATACAGATTGTGCTTACACGTGGCAAGTTAAACCTAGATGTAACCATTTCTTCTTGTCAAAACAACCATGGTGTAGAATTATCAGGAAGTATGTAAACACTGTTAAGTGTTGTGATGATGTTTATGGAGCACTGATATTTGTCTCTAAAATTTACTCAGGAAGGAAGTTTTTTTGAAAAGATGACTCTCTATATGAATGCTTGCATTTCAAGTAATTTAATCTTGATCATCCGCTTTGATTTCCAGACTAACAGAAGATAAGAGGTTTTCTATAAAGGAAAATTTGGATATGAATACAGTGATGAATCTGGCAGAGGTACACCTTGCTTTATAATTTCAAAGCTTTCTTTGTTTTCTACCTTATTTAACTTCTTCTGTTCTGCTTCCTATTCAGATGTTCCTCCCATTCAAATGTTGTCTTTTTTTTCAGAGTACTGTGAGCTTTATTTTTCGTTCTCCTGTAACATCCTGAAAAATTGTTCTGCAGTACAGCTTTCTAGAGAACAGAAGCACACTGTTGAAGCATTCTTTTTCCTTCATGACTGTATTTTATATCATTACAATCCAACTCTGAGTAATAATAAATGAATCTCCTAAGGTTTCTCTAATTACTGTTAGGCATTCTGTTGAACGTTACCTGAGTCCTTTGTGGGAATCAACTTGCAAGTAAATACATATTAAACCATGGGTTTCAAGGGCCATATACAGACATAACCTTTATAAAGATTTAGAAAGGTCAAACAAACTGCAGTCACACTTCTTATGACCAAGTGAAACACAATGTAATACATGAGGTAATGCTGCCACAAACCAGGTCAGTCTGTCCCTTGGACACTTACCAGTGTGCTGTTTGCTCTCAGTCCACTGGGCCTGATATGTGCTAAGCTTCTGGAGTCTGAAGAGACTCCAGGTGTTTGTATTGGGAGGTGCAAACTTTAATGCTCCCTTCTGAAACTGAACGTACAGTTCAACAATCTGATTCCTGTGCCTGCTGTTGGATCTTCAGACTTTTTTTGTTAAAGCACACTTTCGGGAAGACTTTGACATTTGGTGCTATATTTCAGTTTTCTGGGCATAAAATAGATGTGAAGGCAAAGACTTACTGAGCCACAAAAAAACTAAAATATGACCTGTCTTTACTTACAAGGTAGCAGATTTAGTGTTTAGAAAACAGTATCTAAAGGCAATGTACTTTTTTATTTCAGATTACTAGAAGTCTATCTGTAGGAAAAATCCTTCCTTAGATTTAGAAACAGAAAAAATATACCTGTAGGACAAGGAAAGTGTAGCGAGAAGTTCTTTATTGCAGTGCGCTGGGTGCGCTCCAAGTCACATGGACCTAAAGGCACACCAACCGTTTGAAAATCGCGCTTTTTGTATTCTTTCAGTTATATAAGCTGTTAAATATTCAGTGACCACCGTTTTTTTACCTTAAAAGGTAATTTCTTGGACTCAGGAGGGGGTATTACCTTCCCTCTTGATTGATTTGTGACGTATCCCTCTGTACTGTACAGGGGGGTCTCTCCATACACAATGGACGGCCACGTGGCAGAGGATACATTTTTATTTTTATACTTTTCCCTATTCCGGGCCGCAAAGGTTCCCTGGTGTCAGGCTCAGACAGGACCCTCCACCTTACAGCTTTCACGATACGCCTAAAAAAACCCCTTGGAACTCATCATGGCTAGGCTTTGCGAACGAAACCCCACCCCCTTCTGTTTTTCCACTAAATTAATTTGCTTATAATAAACCCAGGTTATTTATTTTTCATATATCTGTTCAATATTACAGGACTTCTTCCTGCATTTCTTCTACCTGCTTTGGGTGAAAATGCCCTTGTAGGTTAGTTCTTATTATATTTTAAGTTTTCAGCCCCTCTTCCATAATGATAACATTAGAACTGTTTAAGGCAGCAAGATATTACAACAGAGAAAGATTCATAAGGACAAATGCTTACAGTGCTCATGAAGTGATGATTCATTTTTATTGAGACATTTTACAGGCTGACATTTCAGAAAAACTTTCCTGCCAGGAATATATCTTCTCTCCTAGTTTCTTTGCCTCCTTTTCTCTCTCCATTCTTTGCACGATAATGAAAGGACCTCTTTTTATTCTTCTCCTGACTCAATATATCCTGTTCTGAAGGCCACCAAGGCATCATTCTTAGGGTTATGATTTTCAGAATTTTTTCCCTCAGTTCAAAATTTAAGCTTTGCTGAGCAGACAGGTATGAGCCTGGAACCATTTTCTGCTGTTGCTGAATGAAATGTCAGATTCTGGATGCAATCCCATCTGGTCTGCTTGTTGAAGAATTTGTCCAAGATATTGCAGTCTTTTTTCAGACAGTAACAATAATTCCAGACCTTTTTTCAGGGGTGATCCTTGTGATCTTGTTTAGCTCTATGGTTAGTGAACTTGAGTAACTCAAAAGATTGCTCCAATGAGTTTTTAAAGTTGAAAAGGTCTGAAAGGTCTCTGTTTCCAAGACCTTTATAAAACTATTCCTCCAACTTTTTACATTGTTTATAGTCACAAGAGAAAATTTTTAAGGAGTCAGAGAGGAGTCAAGGTGACCAGATAAATGTGTCTGACCAAAACTGACTGCACCCACAGGAAAGAGCAGTTAAACTTCCAGTACTTTTTGCTGCTTTTCTTCTATTTCAATTTTGCTGGTGTGTTTGTCAGCATAGCAAAGAACATTGTTCTCAGACATCAAAGGGAATAAAAGAAAATAAATTATTACTCAAGCATTTAGAGACTGATCCTGTTAGCTACTGGGCTGAAAGCCTCTTAAAAAGGGCTAAAACCTTCAGCTCCTTTTGATTTGATTAAGTGCACTAATCATCTGTTCAACTGGAGTCAGTGAGAGATCGTGGTACAAGCACTTCACAGGCTGTTCTCTGTATCACTCTGACCGTGGTAAAGGGGACAAGCATCTGTCTGAGGCCCTGAGCTGAGAAATTCCTCCTTGGGAACCAGGTTAGCTGTCAGTTAACAACCAACTGTTGCTGCTGCCACCTTTAACCAGAAGGGGGGGCACGGGAAGTGACCAGCTCTAGGGGTGAGGTATCACCAAGAAGGGATGCAACATCTCTGCTTGTAACGCTGGTTGGCTATGCGCCCCACTGGGGATTGAAGCAGTTATTCTGGGAAAATATGAATTCTAAATTCCTTGGAGATGTCTAGAAGAAAGTATTTCAGTTAAAGCTGCTTCAGAGTGGCACATCTGGTAAATAATTCAGTACTTTTAGCCTTTAGGAAAATGTCTGTAGTTTGATTAAATATTTTAGATTAGAGAAGTGTTTTTCCTGTTCTTGAGTTGCTGGATTTAAGCACCTTTTGAACTGAACCAGAAATGTGTTGAGTCTCTGTTAACTTTGGCCCTTAGGTGTTCTCCACCAAAATATATTTTATAATTCTGTACTAGTAAATGCCACCATGGTAGAATAACTTCATTTAATGTATCCACATAGTAATATTTAGGGTATATAAAAAGTCTTTGGTTTTAAAGACTTTTCCTCAAATCAAGTAGCTACAGTAAAAAGAATGATTATTCATATGTTATAGATGAGAAACTGAAACACAGAATGACAAGCCAAAAATCTTTAGTCATGTAATAATCTTGCAGACCTATTAAAAGCACTCACTTTTCAAGGATGGTTGGCGTCTACATGGCTTTAGTAGTTCTGGGCAGTCCTCCAAAACTTATGTCAACAGGTCTGATACTGAACAACAAATACTGGAGGTACAAAGTATAAATTACTTTTTTCCTCCCAGGATTCATTTCATGATCCTTCTCCTGTTTTCTAATCAGCAGACCACACTTTTCTGGAAACCTTTAATTTACTTTTTCAGCAGTTATTCTTACGAAGCTACCTTTCAAAGCTTAGTGATTCTGTGGCAACTCACTAATTTATCATTTAGTATCCATGTGTACAACACTTTTAACACTTTTCATACAGAATGTTTTTCCCATCTTTTACAGTTGTGGGCAATCCTATTTAAAAATTATCTCAGAACTTGCTAATTCCATTTAGAAAAAAATAGAACTTTTAATTATGTGGATTTGCCAAAACTGCTAACTAAACCAGCTGCTACCTAAAGCCAACTAAAGTAGCTTTTCTAAAGATTTCTTCAGAAGAAATAATTCCTGGAGTAAACATCAGTTAGATTCTCAAAATGTGCCATGGTTGCATTGGCAATCAGATAGTGGGACTGCTACAGTTATTTCCAACAGGTGGGTATGTGTGTGATACAGCTCTCTATTTAGTGTTCAAGATGAGATAGATACTTTTTCTCCTAAACATGTTATTCTTAGGAGGTGGATTTGCATGCCGAGAGCAATAAATTATCAAAAAGCACCCTAATGGCTCGCTTTCCAATTGTATTACAAATAATTCTGAGAAAGGGCCTTCCTCATTAAATAAAATTTGTTTGAATTCTAATAACAAAAACAATCATTAAGATAAATTATGTATGTAGTGAGTAGCACACAAAGTGGTAGAATACTTGTCGCTGGTGAGAAAGCAATTCCATAGTACAGAGACATTAGAAATTACTTGGCAAATCTTTATGTACAATGTATTTATTTAGTTGCAAACCATCTACTCTTGGAAGGAACTTCCTTTTCAACAGTTGTGCTTTGGCAAAAACAGCCCTAGGGACATTATGTCCTAGGATTGTTGACAAGAGTGAAAGTCCTCTGTATGTTCTCATCCCTAAGAAAACAAACCGTTAGTTCACATTCACTTTCATTCTCAGCTTGTCTCTCCTACTAGGATCAGAGCTAAGAAGTGCTCATCCTTCTTTGGCTTTAATATAAGAACTGTTGCATAGAACTTCCTTTTCTTTTGCTCATCTGACAGGAGGTGTAACTGCTGATCCTTCTAGTTTTCTTCTTTAAGCATCTTCTGATCTTCCTGCCTGATAACCTTCTGCTCCATTCCCACTTCAGAGATCCCACCAGGTTTAGCTTATTTACAGGTTTGCCATGAGATTTTTTCCCCTACATTTAATGTCACATGCCGAGATGTGGAAAAAGAAAGGGGAAAAAAAAGTATTTTTCTTCAAATGTTGAACAGAGGCTTTAATAGGAACAGAAAGGGGAAAACACCTTCACAGTTGTACTGTCTTTAGTTCTGCTTCACTAGTGAAGATCCTTCTGTCTAGAGTTTATGAGTTTTACTCCTGATGTTTAAATAAGCAGTACACGTTTTCTTTCTTCTATCTGCCAAAGACAGGGTGAAACTATATAGTACCTAAATTTAAAATAGACAGTTATGTGGAAAATAGACATTTATCAAACAGATAAATATTTCTGAAGTTTTGAACACTGGAATTAGGACCAGATTTTTTAAAGGTGTTAATTACCTAAACACACAAAGAAGCACACAGCAAAGTATTCAGGTTTCTAGGTGTATGTCTAGTTCCCAATCAAATTCATTAGCACTCCTGAAAATGTCAGCAGTCACATAGGGCTACCTACAATCACTGAGAACCTGTGGAGAACATGGATAGTCAGTTATCTTCAGAAATCTAGTACTTAGCTCTCTTGTAAAGTTCACTCTTTATGTTAATGACAAAGAATAAAACAAATAAACCCCAAGTC